GCTCTTGCTCAGGCTGGTCTCGAACTCCTGACCTTGAGCGATCCACCCGCCTCGGCCTCCCAGAGTGCTAGGATTACAGGCGTGAGCCACTGCGCCCGGCCAAGTCTAAAGATTTTAAATTTATTTTGTTCTAACAATGAAAATAAAGGTTAGTTTGGTGTGGTCTACAATAATAAATATGCATATTATGATAGTGATTTTCCAAGCAAAATTTGAGAAATAGTGGCATGAGATTTGGCATATGTGAGAAAAACAGAAGTAAAATAGATGTGTTTGTTATAAAGAACAGAGGCTAAATTTGGACAGGAAAAAAAGAGTAGGTGGTAGGAGCTAGTTTTCAAATTATAAGAAGAAACATATGTAAGAGAGTTATGTTTTGGAATTGAAACTATAATATCTCTTAGGTATGTCTGTATAGCAGTCCAGCCATGCTGATTGAGCTAGTTGAAGCAAAAGTTTTAATATAATAATAAAACTGTTATTTGAAGAGCATAGAGTATTTACAGTAAAACACATTGTGGATCTGAAAGCTTTAACATATTGGATATTAAAGTCTGTAACTCTCTAAAAGTATAACAGTACTTTTATACACATACAAGTGTAAGATATTATTATTAGTATCTTTGTAGGCTAATAGTTTCTTTGAATTTACATGCAAATTTGGGTCATTCACATCAGTTTTAAAATGAAGGGACATACATTTAAAACAAATTTTACTGGTTACAAAATCCTTTAATTTAGCTCTAAAATGTAAAAGGAGCATTAACAACGTTTTAAACTGTAGCAGACTTATCTATAATAAATTTTATTAAAATAAGATTTCTGGGGAAGGGAGGCATGTATGATAAATTACTTAAGGGCTAAATCCAATTTCAATTGTCTGCTATGAAAAAACTTGCTCTAAACCAATGGCTCTCAAACTTTAGCAGTCATGCATCTCTTAACGATTGGGCTATGTTCTGAGAAATGCACGTTTTGGTGATTTTGTCATTGTGCAAACATCATACAGCATACTTAAGCAAACCTAGATGTTATAGCCTATTGTTCCTAGGCTACAAATCTGTACAGTACATTACTGTACTAAATACTGTAGGCTATTTTAACACAATGGTAAGTATTTGTGTATCTAAACATAGAAAAGGTACTGTAAAAATATGGTATTATAACCTTATGGGATTGTCACCATATATGCCATCCATCACTGACATCATCAAAACATTTTTATGTGGTGTATGACTGTACTAACATGTGGATTGCAAAAACATAGATTGCTATAACACATATTGCTGGGCTCTACTCCTAGTTCTGGTTCACTATGTCTGAGATGGGGCCCAATAATTTGCATTTCTAACAAGTCCTCAGGTGAAGTGGATATTACTGGCTTGGAAACTTCAGTTTAAGAACCACTGGTCTAAACCAGTAACATCAGTGGTTGGAACAACTCTTAGCGATTTTTCTTGTAGCAGGTTTAAGACATATTATATGTTAAGAGATAAATTTTAAGAGACATATGTTAAGAGATAAATTATATGTTAAGAGATAAATTTTTAAATTTTGTTTTAAAAACTCATGTATATATGGAAAACATAAGATTAAAATAATCATTTGATTCAGACATAATCTTGATAAAAAGAATTACCTGGGGTCAACTCCTCTCTGCTATCCTTAGTAAGCATAACAGCATGTTCTGAAACTTCAGCTGCTTCTCTTTGTACAAGCTGACGTAAGCAAGCCAGTACTGACCTTCTCAGTAACAAGTAGGGGCTACAAAGATTCACCTGAAAAATACCATTTGAGGAATGAAAGAGCTAAAATTCTTTGTGGCACTCAGTAAGTCTAACAGATATTCACTGGATCCCCTCCTGATTCTGTCCAGATCAGAATGGGCTGGATACAATTTATTAAATACATAGAAACTTCTTGAAACTATTCTAGTATGTGTGATTACATAACTTAGAAACAGTTTAAGGAGTAATATGTGTACTAGATTATACACAATTCATAAACAAATCCAAGAAAAAGCCTTTTGACAGTGTTAGGAGACAGAGAATTTATATAAGTAAAAGTAGTTTTAAGAGACAAAAGAAATGCAATTAAAAGAATGTATTTGCAGTTTATAAATTTGTGCTCATGCAACTATATTATTTATAATGTTTTATAATTCTCTAAGTAGAAATTTACACAAATCCATAAAGGCAATATAGCATATTGGTTTAAATGCAGGCTCTAGAATTAAATTGTCTCAGTTTGAGTCCTAGATCCACCATTTGCTATCTGTGTGACCTTGGGCAAATTATTTAGACCTCTCTGTGCCTTAGTTTCCTTGTTTGTAACACTACCCCATCACACAGGGCTGTTATGATGCTAACACAAAGTAACATGCAAAGTGCTTACCACAGTACCTAGCAAATAGTAAATTCTCAATAAATGTTAGTTATTGTTAATGTAGTCTCTAACAATAGTATTTTATTGAGATGACATATAGAGTAAGTAAATGCATTTTCAAATAAGGGCAGAAAGAGTTTTACTCAGAAAACATATTCACCAAAAATGCTCCGTAGAGACAAACATAGGACATCAAATTTCATATATATATACATGCACATATTTATATACTGATAAATATACATATATGTACATATCTTAGAAATACAATATAAATCTCAATAGGTTCTGTCTACTTATGGCAAATAAGATTTGTGACATACTCAAATGATCAATTACAAGTCAAAGATTTCTGCATAAAAATTTTTACTCCATGATTTCACAAATAAAATAAAGTCTAAAGATTTTTTTTTTTTTTTTTGAGACAGAGTCTCACTCTGTTGCCCTGGCTAGAGTGAG